GCTACCAGCCTTGGAAACTTTAAGACCTTTAGACTTCACCTCCCAGAGTTCTTCAGCAAGCTTTGCTGGCTGAGGATCTCTGGGAGTTGAAGTCCACAGGTCTTAAAGTTGCCAAGGCTGGAGACCACTGGCCTAGGATGCAGGGGGGGGGGGTCTTCATCCCAATTTTCCTCGCCTCTCGGTTGGAAGCATCCAACTCCCGCAAAGGGTGCATGGAGAGCCCATGCAGCCCCCCATGGAGAGCCCATGCAGTGGGCAAGCCTCCCCTTTGTCTCCCCCAACGAGGGAGGTGGGCTCTGACAAGGGGGCGCACCCTCTCCGCAGGGGTTTTGCCGTCGGCATCTACACCACCAACTCCGCCGAGGCCTGTCACTACGTGGCGGAGAATTGTGGGGCCAACATCATTGTGTTGGAGAACGACAAGCAGCTGCAGAAGATCCTGGAGGTGAGAGCCGGGCTCCTGGGATGGGGGAGAGGGAGCCCGGGAGGTCCTCTAGCACACCCTCGGGCCCGGGAGGCTGTGAGGCCCAGCCCAGTTCCCCCCAGTGGCTGGGGGGGCAGACTTCAAACTGGAGGGGGGGCGGGTGATTTTTCTTTCAGGGGGGAATTATTGGGGATCCCAGGGAAGACATTTTGGGGTGAAGGGTCTCTTGTTTTGCCCCCCCTTCCCTCCCCAGGTGGAGAAAAAGCTTCCTCTCCTAAAAGCCATCATCTACTACAACGACGACATCAAAGAGAAGAGGCCCAACCTCTACAGCGTGAGTACCTCCCTTTCTGCCGGTCCTCGACTTACGACCAGGATTTCCACAGCTAAACAAGGCGGCTGTTAAAGTGAATTCGGCTGCGGTATTTACTAGCTCCCCCCTCCCCAGTGGTTAGGCAAACTCCTGGAGTTGTTAAAGCGAATCATTTGGTCGTTAAGCGAATCTGGCTCCCCCCCCCCATTGACTCTCCTTTGACCCCCTCAAACACTCCTCAGTTTACAGCCACAGTTGAGCCCGAAACTTCTGTCGTCAAGTGAGAATTTCTGTTTGCCTCATTTTGCGACCTTTTCTGCTACAATTCTTAAGTGAATCACGGCAGCGGTTGGCTGCCTGCCACAACTAAGGAGGGAGATAAGCAACCCCTTGGCTGGGAGCCCAGAAAGGTATCTCTATGGAACAAGGCTTGAACTCACGAAATTTTCCCAATCTTCCTCTACAGCTGGATCAGTAAACTCTTTGTTTCCTGCGAAATTCCCCTCCCGTCGCCCCACCAATCAGTAGCCACCTGTTCCTATTTCCTTCTGTGAGCCTTTCCCCAAAGCCGCTCCCTCCTCCTCGCAGCCCTACGCATACGTACTTCAGGGACAGCCTCCCTCTGCTCTTCCTCACTGCTCCCTGACTCAGACGCCACCTTAGTGGCCAACAGGCCTCTCTAGGCCAGTGTTTCTCAACCTTGGCAACTTGAAGATGTCTGGACTTCAATTCTGGGAGTTGAAGTCCGGACATCTTCAAG